CGGCGTAACATCCGCAATTAAAAGCAGCGACGCTCGCTCGCGAAAAACGCGAAAACAAGATGCCCTAACAAATCAAAACGAACAATACAAAATAGAGAAGAAAAGAAAAATATAAGAAGAAATAGAAGATAGAAGGACGGCAAAGGTTAAAGTGCACGGACGTTCGCAGACTGGCCTCGGACGGCTGCCTGCGAGCCTTGGCGATGCACTTCACGATGTCGCACAGCGCGCCGGGCGACTTGCTCTATCACACTGGCGAGTCAATCGACTCGCTCTGCTTCATCGTGACGGGAAGCCTCGAGGTCATCCAGGACGACGAGGTGGTTGCCATCCTCGGCAAGGGCGACGTCTTTGGGGACAGCTTTTGGAAGGACAACGCGGTCGGCCAGAGTGCGGCCAACGTGCGCGCCCTCACCTACTGCGACCTACACACGATTAAGCGCGACAAGCTCCTCGAGGTTCTGGACTTTTATCAGGCCTTCGCCAACTCCTTCGCACGCAACCTCATACTTACCTACAATCTGCGGCACAGGGTGAGTATGCATTCAACTTACGCCTCTTCGGCACTACTACACTATCATATATTTACATGTATCGATCTAAACGACCGGCGAGCCAATTGGAACAGTTGGTTTACCGTGCAACGAGCACTCATTTCCTACTTGGCTAATCGCAATGACACTCTCTATATGCCCTTTCTATACATTAATTAGCAATACTCTTAGTTCGAGGATAAAAGAAAGCATTGGTGTTAAATGTCGCATCTCCTGGTATTAATATAAAAACAAAAATAACAACAAAAAAAACGAAAAACTATATCTAAATAAATGTATGCTCTCTGAATGCGACTGGTAAATTTGTCTTTTATACGCCTTATACAGCGTGGCGCATAAGACATCGATTATACGCAATATTTTTTTGTTTAACTATTTGAAATTTTACAATTATGCAATAAACATATAATTAACGAAAGCAGATAATCGTGTTAGATTTCGTCGTTTATTCAATTATGTATTTGATAAACCCAACGTAAATTGTTTTTTTATTCTTCGTTATAATATTGCTCTTCCTAATATAATAATGTATAGTATATGATGCGAGGGCATTAATAATTATTATTAAGAATGACAATCTACGATAGTTGAACTTTAACATGCCAGATAGATCCGTCTCGAAAGTCTTACCTTTCGATTGATCATTCGAATTCTCAAATTATTAATACACATTAATATTCGATTGACATTACGACTTGCAAGACACATTGCAACAATGTGTCTGTGACATTTTATTAACATACGGACATTTGGCGTTTCTCGAGAGTATTTCATTTGCATTGAATATATTTGAAAAGCCTTTATATTCCTATTTTCCATCAATTTACTTTACTCGATAATAACCGTCATTTAGCAACAATTTTAAAACGTTAGAGAATATTGCCCCGAGACCTAAATGTATATTACTTTTTCTCGAGTTCCATAAAAATTGAAAATTGCCTATTTGATATATGGGGGATCGAAAGAGATTCGATAGAGTATGTTGTCAGTTGCTTGAGTGGTAGTAGAGTTGCCGCGCGTGAATATGAAAATCGGACGATGAAGCTACGATCGATTAATAATGCAGCTCAAGCATTGGAATAATATATTTCTATATTTCTTATCATGTCTTCTTGCGTGTACATTATCGATCTTGACCTTTCTTCTTCTCGTCTCTGGCCCGACTTGTCCCGACTTTGCTCTGAGCAACGCCTCTGAAATCCCGACTCGAACACTTTTCACAAACAACTAGTGCCCGAATAACCAAAATCATTACGAGTGCCGCGTATATGCAAGCACTGCTTTCCTCCATTTCCAATTTTTTTATTCTGACGCCATAACCGGATCCTATTAACGGGCATTTTCTTCTTTTTCTTTTTCGTCACGAGTATCATGGGATCGTAAATCTTGCCATTGAAATGTGCATTGTAAAATTGAATAGAATTCAATAACGATTACCATTGAAGTCAAACTATACCTTGAATTATAATAAGCAAAGAATATCATTGATTATACTTGAGTGACAATTGCCTTAAAAATATTACACGCGAATATCAAGGAAATATAAAAAAAAATTTCATTATTACATTTGTGTTTAACTCATAATTATGCATGGAACTTACAAGCAAGCAAAAAGTGATTCAAAACTTGCATATTAATGTCTAGAGGAAATGTAGTATTTGTTTGCTTTATCAAGTTGTCGGGGTTATTTTCTTCGTAAAATTTCCAATCAATATTTTGTGAAATCATCATCATATATTCAATTTCAATGTAGTACATAATTTCAGTGACAATTTTTGATCGAATACATTTTGTAAAAAATAAAAATTAGCCACGTAGTATAATAGTAAGAGCTAAGTTTTATAAAAAAATTTACGTTTAAATGAGATACAAAATTCTATAAATCTATCTTTGTAATCAGCGAATTCGACTAACGTTTTGAGATTTAATTTTTTCTCAAAGATTAATTAAGAGACTTCGATTGGAGATGTAACATTACTAAAACTTTTTAAAATAATAATATTTATACTGATATTTGTGTTGATTTACTTAAAAGTTTGCATGACAATAATTACACATTCTACTAAAAATAATATTTTTCAAATTAAATATTTTATTCCGTCTTTGATTTATAAATGAAATAACGGAAATTCAAGAATAAATAGATCTCGTACAATGATTATAATAGAGTTGAGGGAATTGCTGTTACTGTTTTTAAATTATAATATACATATTTATTGCATAATGTATAAAAATAAATATAACTGAATCGGTTAAATAACTACGAGTATAACGTGTAATATCACACGATCTCTCGCTTAAATTATTGCTTTCGCCTTTAATAAAATAATGTTTTTCAATATTTTACATTACCGTGTTAATAATAATATTACTCAAGGTCGGACGTTCATCTTAAAAATCATATTCTTTAATTATATCCAGATAAAGACTCTTAAAATGTCTGTAATTTCAATATATTGCATAAAAGAAAATTTCTTTTTTATACTTTTAAATTAGTTGTCAAATTAGTAAAGCAAATCATCGTTTTTAATTAAAAACTGCAAATATTATGATATAAATATATATAGAAAAAATTTATGTAAAGGTCACATAATACAAGAGAATATTTATTTTAAATTTAATATTTTATCAATTATATTCATATTTATTTTGATGTATTCACGTCCAATGTCGACAGTTAAATTAAATTGTTATAATCATGTTATTATAAATGTTAATAAATATAACATTTTCTCTGAAAAGAAATATTTTATCTAGCTCTATATATATATATATATATATATATATATGTGTGTGATAAATTATGAATTAAACATATAAACAATATTTATAGGAATATTATAAGATGCATATAATACATGTTTCTGTTTAAAATTTTAAATGATAATTAAGAAAGTTTAATAATTTCGTATCTACAAGATTCTTTTTAAATAATGGACGAGCTTTTTTAAAAAAAAAATTATAAATAATCAATAATAAATTGATATTGTACTTGTGATAATTATATTTAATTTTGTGTTTCTCATGTACATAGAACAAACAAACCGTGATAAAGAATATTGTTAATAAATAATGCTAATAATTAATATAGACTTTTATCGCATCATATTTTATTTTATATTAATTTGATAACAGACTTCGTCAGTTTTAAATATAATTCATGTATTTCTAAAATTTGGCGAATTCATAGAAATTTGTAAAGACAGTACTTTTCACGTCATATTAATAATCATTTCAATTATACGAGTATTTTGATTTGTATAAAACATAATATAATATGCACTCGAAATTGTAATGATTTACCATTGTTAAATATTATTGGAATATTTTTTCTTTTTTAAATAGAATTATTGTTAACACTTTGATGATAAGAATAATGGTAAACACATGGTCACAGTACAATTTCATTTAACATCATTTATTAATGTTTATTTTGTAAGATGATTCACTTACAAAAGTATGAACTTTTACATCCCTTTAACAAAGTATCTTACACACTAAAAATAAAACGAGCAATAATAAATCTCAATCCATAATTGAGTAACAAATAACAAGTCGTAGAGAAAACAAGAAATTTTTTTACATTTTAAAGGCCATTCTCCAATCTGACATGAAGATTTATTTCTACGAAAAAATTCTTCACTTTATCAAAGCTTTCGATGCTCCTTCGATGATATTCGATAACTTGCCATAAGTTATCCCTGCTCTGTAAGTGGCACAAAAACTTAACTGTATATAATATGAAGAGTCATCACGTTAATTCATATTTACAATAATTCATTTAATTCAATAATTCTTGTTAACGTTATTTTTAAGTCTTGAAGGAACATCTTTATATTAAACATTGTAAGTCACATATAGAAATTTCATTTCATTAAAATCATTTCCATTTGGTATTTCATAATATTTAATTATTATATAATATACATATATCTGTACAATCTAACTCTAAATAACATAAAATAACAATTCGAAAAATATAACTTCGTTGGTATTATTAAAAAGGTTTTCAATTATAAAATGAAATTGATTTTTAATAATCCGAAATAACATTGTACCTTGGAAGGTTCTTTAACATCGATAAAAATTCGTTATAGTATTTCGATAGTAATACAATATAGTTCGTTATTGAAATTCGTATTGGATGAAAAAATCTTAAGTATAGAGAATAGATTACATGCGCATTTTCACTTATTGCTCTATTCTTTCTGTATAGGAATATCAAACCGAAATAATACAATAGTGGTATCGTTAAAATAGTTCTTATCTGAGGGCTTGATTGTTTTACTTTCACATCTCTATATTGGTGCGAATATGTAAAATAAATTTTTACATAATTTATCTAATTTAACTTATATTCCCATTTAATTAAATAATATCTACGTATAAAATTAAAATGATTGCCTTTTGTATTTACAATATCATTTTTTTATGAATTGTCATATTCATTTTTTCATGAAACGATAAGTTTTTATTCCTTTATTTACTTTAGATATTTGCACCAAGCGAAGAGTTATTGGAACAATTTTTATTTGATATCGAATGAAATTTAATATCTATTAAGACATACAATTATTTTCTTATTGCTTTTTCTCTCTAAGTCCTTCACTGTGTAATTTTTTACCAAACAATTCCAATAGAACTGTAGAAGCAGGATCCTGATCAAGAATTGACCTTGACTCTCTTTCTTCTTCATTAGCTTCATCTGCTACTGGTCCCACACCCCATACTTCACAATGCTTAACCTCAAAATTTTGTTTCCCACTGAGTTGCACATAATTTTGAAATGTTGTACATGATACACTGCATTGACCCGAGCCATACTCACAATATAACCAGAGAGCAGGATATTCTAATTTACCACCCATTATCAATCCATTGGGCATCGTTTTTTGATGTAAATTCAGATACTGATAATTTGTATTATAGCCAGTAGCTGGAAAAGTCAAAATTTGTGGTTCTAATTGAAATAAAAAACATGATTGATTTCCTGTGTAGATGGGCGAAAGAGCCCAATTCTCAGAAGCAAAACCGCCAAAAACATGATCATCCATATCTTGAAGAATTATGATTGTAGCTCCTTGCATTGTGATTCTTCCTAACATTGTAGAAAATGATTCACCGTGTACTTGACTTGAGAAAAGAAAACGCCACTCGTTGCGAAGCTCATGGGGTAAGCTAAGATTCAAAAATAAGACATCTCCAAGACCCAAAATACTTGGAAAATGTGGAATGTTCTCTAGTCCCTGACAAAGTGGCAAAAGATTTAAATCATTAATTTTTGCTAATGTATTTTTATCACCCTTCTTTTGAGACACTAAAAATAAACAATGGAAAACATGTGACTGAATTGTTTTGAAAGTGGCAGCCTGACGAAACCAAACATCCACTTGTTCGAACGTCAAAGTATCACCGTACTCCATACCCCATACAAGTTCCTCGCACAAAGTACGAGATCGCATGTTTATTCTTCTCTTATTTACAGTACAACCGATACTACTCCAGCTGAGAAAATGTGAGTTGGCACAGTTTTTTTGTAGGGTCAAGTATGAATTTATAGTGGCTTGAAGATATTGTAAAAATGTTGCGGTAGGAATTTCATGCTTTTGTTCATCCTCTGAGAAACCCGTGAATATTAAATTTGTCCTCTCTTCGGAACTACCACGTACAGCGTATACATATAATTTGCCAAAGCTCTCACCATTCACTGCTGAAACTCGTTTTCCAGGCTCATGACAAAGAAATCGTACTACGAATTGCAACAATGTATCATCTAAGTGAGCCGACCAATGCTTAAAAATGTCTTCGCGTTTAATAGATCCTGAACTACGCGACATTGACTTAAATAGATTTTCGACCAAAGTTAGTTCTTCCGAAGATAAAATATTAGATGACGCAGAACGATTTGAAGATCCATGTCCCATCTATAAAATAAAAAAAGTACATAAAACCGAGCTTTATTAAGTTTTCTAAAAGCGTAATATATCTATAAAAGTTAATCATATATAAAATAGACAAACCTTGACTCCAACAATCCATAAACTTATTCTAAAAATAGAATATCTATGACACCAAATCAATACTAATTTTCTTCGTTATTTAACACTTGAAATTTGAAATAGTCTCATTTTTCGTATTGTTAAATGCGAAATACGTACGAACGAGTCTCGCTTCAAAGCTTCACTCACAAAGTATTTTAAGGTTAAGTATGAATTGATCGTCTGCTACTGTCAAAATATCGAGCGGAAATACTACGCATGCGTAGGACATATTTTCTTTTTTACACTTTATAGTACTTTTAAAATATATTTTCGTTATTGCAAAGTTCATTTGTATTCATATAAATATTCAACTCGCATAAGTATTAGATATATGATATTTAACTCTTGAAAAGATTTTTTAATATAATTACAATGAAAGAAAGTTAATAAATTTTAGAGCTATAATTCTTTAATGCTTTAATGCAAATTACTTATTCCAATAAAATTAAGTCAATTTAATTTCACAATAAAAGATTATTTCTATTGTTGGTAAATTAAAATTATTTCTAATATTGTTAAATATTTAAAAGATTAATAAATATGTAATTTATCAAAAAAATTGGATTGATCGAGAAAATCAATATGAATATAATATTTTCCGTCCTATATATGATACGAAGTGGAGAGCAAAATCACAAGAGTAAATTTATCGAGGGAAAGCAGGTAATTAGGCTACGTCTAATGTATGAGCGCAATTGTATAATGCATGAGAAAAATAGAATATAAAAACGAGCTACTAAAAGTAAGTCACTTAACGTTAGTGGTTAGTATAGTTAGCATATAAAGTAAATGCAATTTGTAAAAGAATAAAAGATATTTATGTCATAACCTGATTGAATTGTTACATTTAATAAGGAAAGAAAATGAAATAAATTAACTATATGATTTCTCTGACAAACTTTTGCTTATTTACAAAGGTTTTTTTATTTATCACTATAATATTTAAATATAATTAAATAAAATTGTGTTTGTCTCTTTATGAAAAATAACAAAGTGCAATATTCTATAAATTCAATATTCTTAAAAATTGATCTATTTTTTTTATACATTAATTATTTTACATAAATGTGTAAAGCTTTTTGCAAAAAATAATAATAATTGTATTATTATTAAAGCTGTTATAAGAAAAATTATAAAATAAGGGTATCCCATTTTTTCCCTCATTTTTTTCATACTAAATACATAGATTTTAAATTACCATTATCTTCCTTCTTTTTTTAAGTGTTTCAATAACCGACTATTCCTATTCGTTTTTCCACACTAAAAACTAAGTTGAAAATTAAGATAAAAAATGATCGCCAAAATTGAAAAGTATAATGCCTCGCCGTCTATAGTTAAGCTAATGTATACGTTTGCGTATATGTGTGAAATTATTATTGGGAATAACAACAATAAAAAATTTTAATATATGCGTTTTGCTATATTTAACATATGAATTAATTTTTCAATTATAATAACTTAAAATATACAATATAAATTATAAATATTTTATTTTAATACCTACGTGTTATCTTTAATTTACAATGTTTATCTATTTTTATTATTATGAAATTCGAAATTATATAATTTATGGAAACATAAAATAAATATCTTTCGTATTATTTTACGTATTTCAATTTAATCTAAGAATATTTTTAGATGGTTTTATTATTGGTTTTATGTGCCAAATCTATATATATATATATATATATATATATATATATATATATATATATACATTTAAAACTTTTATATTTTATTTTTAATATTTGCCTCAATAAGGAAAATAATAGAATTTTGGCATATTTAATTTTAAATAATTAAAAATTAATTGATGGTATATGTCCAAACTAAGTTCAAAGCAAATAATATACTAATACTTATAATTATAAACAACAATATATGTTAATCATATAATTATAACGTGAAATTTATTAATTACAATTGCTAATAAATCGATTTATATTTATATTAATATATTAATACTAATATTTGTGACTCGTGAAACTCTAAAATATTCTCACCCTCGGATATACTATATAACAGAATTTTCGATTGATTATAAATTTTAAATAATAATTATATGATATAAAATTATTTAAAACACATAATCTGCTTTTTTTGCATTTTATAGCTGATTTTTCGAAAAGTAGCTGATGTTCGACGGGAAAAAGAACTTGCTGAGAGACGAAAAAATGAACCACAATTAGATCAGTCGCAGGATCATCTGGTTCGAAAAATTTTCTCAAAGTAAGAGTGATCATAATTATTTTCTATGTCTATTTTAAAATTTTATTTAAAAATTTATTTAAAAAATAATCCTTTTAAAATGATTATCAATTTTTTTTTATGGAAGTAGTACTCGCAAAATTATTAAATTAAAGTCTATGAATAAATAAATAAATAAACACACATATATATGTATATATTTATTTATTTATAAGAATCAAATATCCCTATACACGGATATGAATGTCCAATAAATAAATTTATACATTAAGAAATAGTTAAGAACAAACATTAAGAAACTCAATGTTTGAGCATTTAAGATATTATACGTAAATCGTAAATGTGTATGTTTTTCTCACTGTATATCTTTATTGTATTTTTCTTCAGTTATATAACAGACAGTCCAATTGCCTACGCATTATTTTATATCTATTAGCAAATTCCCTGCTAAATAAATAACGACATAAAGCGATAAAATCCACAACAGCCCATTAACAAAATATACACAAAGAGATTAAACACAAAGACAGTATAAACCAATGTAAAATTGATGTTAAAAAAAACTGTTGATTCGAACGCTCGCGAATAAAAAGGTTCAAGACTGATGGGGAGCCGCAGATCATGATGTCGGGAAGGGCAAGCAATCGTTCAAACCAGGACTCCGACGAGGAACTCACCGTCTCCGTACTGCCGCCCTGGCCAAGCTTTAGGCAATTTCATTTCTTACGTATATTCATTTACTTATTTGTTTTCTATTAATCTTTATATCTATCTCTTGTCTCCTTTTTACAATTATATAGCTACACCCACTCATCCATCAACACCGACCCACACACACACACACACACGCGCGCGCGCGCGCGCACACACCTATCCACTCACACAGTTATACACATGCAGATACACGGAAAAGCATACACATACACACAGAGACACGCGCACGCACACACACACACACGCACGCACGCACGCACGCACGCACACAAAGCATAAAAACAAACATACATAAAATACACGTACGCATACGCAGATCTTTTTTATTTCTGTATCGAATTATGTATAAATAACATTTTTAACTATATTTTGCTCTGTATATTATGTCTGCATATATGCATATATATATATATATATATATATATATATATATATATATATATATTTATGCATATATAGACATATTTCTTCGACTGTAAAAAATTGAATATTCCTGCTATTAATATATACATTCTTCATCTCTTATATCTAAACATGTATTCAATGATAAAAAGCAATTAAATCATAAATATTATATTGTTTTCTCTTTCTAAATAAAAATTATTTTATTAGTAGTCATTTGTATATGGCTCTACATCTATCCAGTATATAGTAGATTTTAATTATGAAAAAGACTTAATTTAATTTATTATATTTAAGTACAATATTTTTTATATATTGCTTTTTATGCAACTAAATAAAGCTATGGACACTTTCATTAAACTTACATCTTTTTCATATTTTTAGTTTTAAATAGAAAATATTTGAAGATCTATTTATTATGTATCAGATCCATTCATGAAGAACATAATATACGTTTCACAATACGACAATGTTTATGTAAAATATCCTGTAATACTATTATATTAGAATTCAGCATTATTTCTATATGTAAAAAATAAAATATTTAAAACTTGTCATTTTTAGATAAATTTTATAAAGTATTTTATTATTCTATTCTATATACAAAGTTATTGCCTTCATTCCTTTTAATAATATCAGCGTTTCTTTTTAATTCTTAATAATAATAATAATAATAATAATAATAATAATAATAATAAAAATACATCAAAATATAATAAATTAAATTACATTATTAACAATACATTTTTTTACCTTTATAATAAAAAATTACCTTTATCTCCTTAATAATGCTAAATAGCAAAATCACCTTAGTTTGTGCATTAATTTTGTTAGTTTAATCATCTAAGACTCTCTACTACGTATTATAATACTAGATTAAGCATTATGATTACATGTAAACGTAAATATCAACGAGTATCATTTAATTTACCTATTGTATTTCGTTTTTCGAATGAAAAATTACGATTATACGTAATAATATGATTCTGTTGTTATATTTGTCTGTATGTTATATTTATTAATTAATATATAGTAACAAATTTGATAAAGTTTTTAAAAGTTCGTTCAAATGAATTATTTTAATTCGTAATGATATATTTACGTGTAATTCATTTTTCACAAATAATGAAAATGATTTCAGACCTTACGAATTTCTTGATTAAAATCATTTAAAGTATAATTATTTTGAATTTATATGAATGCTAGAGTGCTGTAAAATATATGCCTTTAGAGAGTTATGCGCATTTTCTTTAATATATTTTACTTAAAATTATTTCTTAGTATTGTACACAGTACGTTAAGCAAAGTGCAAAATATATTGCGAGTATTGAACAGAGAAAATGTTCATTCTAGCCACTTGAATCTTTTATCATTTTTTATACTCTTCTTCGTACATTTTAATCTATCAACATGATTCTGAGTCTTCAATTAGCGTAGCTGCTTATATTACTCAATTAAATTTCTAAGCTTGTGAAGATTATTACTGTAATTAGATATTGTATTTACTGGAAAAATTTAATAACTTTTTTACGCTTCGTTTTCATAATTTTCAATTTTTTTTTTTATCACAATTCTTAAATAAATCTATAAATTTATCAGCACTTTTATATTTAATGCTTATTTTACCTTTTTTTTCTTTTTTTTTTTTTTTTTTTAAATTCGACTCTATACAATTGATTCATACATTCTCTCTTTTTCCAGTACTAGCAATCTTAGACATTACGCGTTATATATATATATATATATATATATATATATATATATATACATATATGTATATATATATATATATATATATTCGGTGCATGTGTCAAATACACT